ACGCGTCTACAAAATAGGTCTTTTTTTTTTGGTTAGGGGGGAATGCGTTTATGCACCATACCATAGCCCGAGCTACGGCGTGTGTGGGACTCCAGGTTGTCTTGAGGAGACCATCTAATACCCACTAAACCCTAACCTCCGCGTGGCCCGACTCATCAGCGTCTCGGTAGGCCATGTGTTGTGCGTGACCTGCGGTCTGCTACAACGTCCCCTCATGTATTTCAGTCTCTGGGAACGCCGGGTTGGTTCCCTTTACCTCGCACAGTTCTATCGATGTCGTTAAGCGAGCATTGATATAGGTTTGCTATGTTCTCGTGAAACTCTTGTTTTCGAAAAATCAAGAGTTTCAAGTACTCTACTACTAGTATGTTACCTGGTCCTGATGGGTCCTGGTCCTGGTGGTTCCAGGTCCTGATGGGATCTGGTCGTGGTCATCCTGGTCCTCATCCTCTGCTGCCACGCCGAGGGGCGGGGAGTAATATGCTGCACGTCTCTCGTCAGTCGCTGTTAGATTTCTGTTTTCCAGCTCACCGCCAGATATAGGCTTGCCATTCTGAATTCACGAAGAATGATGTCACCAGCAACGCGGTGGGTCGGATTGTTGGTACAGGACAGGAGGTCGTTGATATGTAAGAGACACAGTGTCGGGTTCAACACCGATCCCTGGGGAATACCCGCATTGACGTTGCGGAATGAAGAGGAGAACGTCAATTACCACGGATATCCTGCGGCCAGATAGAAAGTCATCCAACCATCTGCAAAGCTTCTCTGGAAGGCCGTAGGATGGAAGTTTGCTTAAGAGGGTAACATGCCACAGCTGATGACGTAACCAACCGAAACCGTGGAAAGAACTGAACTCGATTCATCTCAGTATAAATGGTTTTATTTTAATAAAATTTTGTATAAGTACTTAATGAAGCATAATAAGTAAATGATAAAAATTTCAAAATGATTGCACTGCTTTAAAGCCCTTTGACCTATAATAATGTGTGGATGCACCCTGATGTGCTACGCATTCTCCAACGCGCCTAGGCATGCTTCTGATCAGGTGGTCAATGTCCTCCTGTGGTATCTCATTCCAGGCAACCACCAACTCCTCTCGAAGTGCTTCTAGAGTCTGAGGAGGACGTTGCAAATTGAGCAATCTCCTACCCATCATATCCCACACGTGCTCAATTGGGGATAAGTCGGGAGATCTTGGTGACCATGGTAACAATGTGACATCATTATGTTGAAAGGAGTCTATTGTGACTCTTGCAACATGTGGTCGGGCATTATCTTGTTGGAAAGTTGGATCTGCCAGGGTGTCAAGATAGGGTAAAAGATGGGGTTCTAGAACTTCGTGGATATAACGCTGCGCGTTCATATTACCTCTGATGAAGATTAAAGGTGACCTGGAACCATAAGCTATAGCACCCCAAACCATAACTCCAACAGTGTGATGAACATGTCTTTCAACAAAAAACTGTGGATTCCTCCTTTCACCACGTCGCCTTCTAACCCTGGCACGACCATCGTGCATGCCTAAACAAAATCGAGACTCGTCACTAAAGACAATACTGTTCCATTCCTGATCCCAGAGTGACCGTTGTCTGCACCACTCAAGGCGATTACGTCGGTGTTCTCGAGTTAGAGGGAGGACCCAGTGTGGCCGGTATGAAAACAAGCCAAAACTTCTCATTCGTCGGTAAACACTTCGCATGCCAATAGGTCTTCCGTGTTCTGCAAACCATTCATTTGCAATGGACTTGGTAGTGGAGAAACGGTCCCTTAAGGCCAATAATCTTAGGCGGCGATCTTCACGGTCTGTTGTTCTATGGCGGCATCCAGTGCTCCTTGCTCTTTGCGTACGGCCTTCTCGAAGCCATGCCTGATAACACCTAACCACAGTGTCTACACTTCTTTGCACTCTAACTGCAATTGCCCGAAAAGAAAGTCCAGCTTCCCGAAGTCCCACTATACGGCCCCTATCAAACTCACTAAGTTGACGAAATCGTACAGGTCTCCGTACTCTAGGCATCGTAACCGATCGTAAAGAATGTCAAGAACCAAAATCCGCCAACGTTGATTCTTTACTGCGGCTGAAATGTTTATTTTTAGAGCGTTAGTGAATTAAAAAAAAGCAGTATAAAAACCGGAATGTCCAACTGATAAGGCTGAAACTTTTTTCACTTGTTATTTACAGTAAGATAAATACGTTCACCAACTTTTATTAAAATAAATCTATTTAAACTGGGTGTTCGGATTTATATGTCACTTAGTATACTTATATAGACTGTACACTCTTCAATAAACTTGCTGCAGATATCAAGGAATCTTCAACAATAGCTGTTTTTTGAACAAAAACTCGCGACAGTTTTGTTAGAGAGCTGTTCTTACATTCTTTCCCCAGCTCATGCAATAAATCCACGGATTTCTTCATGAATTGAGTTCATTTGCAAATTTCAAAAGTATAGAACACAACCTTGAAGAAATCTATATGAAGAAATTTTTGGTGTAAAACGGATGACGAAAATCGCAGAGGAAGGGGAGAGCTCCATAAGGATGAAATTCTGCTGAACTTTTAGCCAAAATTGTATCCAAACTTGACGTAACGATGTCGCTGATGGTCACATAACGCCACCGTCAGAATGTTTTAATCGTCAACGACACACGAGGCCGTACAAGGGTAAACAATATTATCTTGGTTTTGTTTCTTTTCAGTGCACTATTACTCTTGCCACGTTTATTATTTATTTAGACGCGTAGTTAGGTTGAGTGCTTTTCCATTAAAGTTATGTCACGGTAAGCCATTTCTCACATTAACGTCATTTTGATGGCGTCTGTATTATCATAAAACGTTGCTCGAGTTATTGTATAGTATATAGTCTGCAGGGAAATAAACTGAATTTGTGGAAAATACCATGTGCGTCTAACCTGTCTAAGAAGTTTTTCTATTTTAACTTTACCTATTACCTGTAAAGCTTGTTATGATAAGCAGAGATTGAGTTATTGGTAATAGGGCGTCTAGGAGATAGAGATAGTTCGATAGAGATATCGGGAACGGTTTTTTCATGCAAAGATACCAGGTCCTGTGAGGGAGCATAAAATTTTCCCAAAAAATATCTATAATGGATGACTTAGGTTGCTTGCGATGACACATATGCGCAATCGACACGAAGCACTCGTCTCGTTGTCTACTAAAAGCTGAAAAAGTGATTCTAGTATACACCCTCGAGATGAGTAATTACAGACCAGTAACGATACCGTCAACTTTTTCAAAAGTATTCGGGTACTGTTATCAGGCAGACTTTTTTTTGGGAAACAATAATATTTTGACAGAATCAACCCGGCTTTCGAAATGGAAAATCCACGCCACAGCAATTCGCAGCTTCGGAACTCATGTTAAAAAGATGAGGCGGACTGCCCTGTTGGGATCATTTGTGATCTCAGGAGGGCATTTGGCATAAACGGTCCGCCATATCGTTGAATCAGGTCTCTTTTAGAGAACGGGTCTCAATTTGTGAGTATCGTCGGCAGTGGTCAGAATGCGCCTATTAAGTTCGACATAACTCACATCACCATAGGCGTCCCTCGGGGCCCTATTCTACGAATGATACTTCAGTGGTGATATCGAATAAGTGTGGGGTTGCCTTAGGGCGGTATCGTCGGTTGTTCTTACATTGTAGGACGCCTTCATGGTTTTCTACTGCTCCGTGTCAGAGCTCTATTTTGAGGTTATGTTACAAATACATATTTGCATCAAGTTGTTCATGTCTTTCTTTCATATCACCTGTTATATTAGTCTGAAATTTTCAACAATTCAAAAAAAAAACATAGCATCACGAAAGGAGAGCATTGAAGATGACCAGGAACAGTAGAAATCTAGAAATATCCCAGCTTTTTTGACGGTTGGAAAGGACTTTGAAAATCAAGGAGGCCATAAAGGCGTCCTACAACTGTAGCAATTTTGACGATGGTGCGCATATATATGTAAATCTCAGCGGCAACTTGTCTCTCCATGAAAAATATCCCTAACGACTCTTTCAAATATCCCTATATCACAAACTTGAAAAATAATAAAAAATGTTAACAAAAAAACACTGAGAAATTTCCTTGGCTGTCATATTTAGGGAACTACAAGGGCTTTTCTGTAAATGTTGCGTGGCTTTTGCAAAATTAGAAGGAGTACATAAATCAACAAAATTGGTAAAACTTGTTACCGTACCACTAAAGAAATTTTCGAAATTGTATGGCAAACCGGTGATTGTGAGACACATGAGAACTCAATACATCATGCAGAAGCAGTTTCGGATGCTACAAACTTTTTAAAGATTAACGAAAATCCAGAGAATGATATAAGAAATATAATCGGTTCAGAGCGAATTAAGCAAGTATCAGAAAATCGGCAATTATTGACTCCTATAATAGAATCTATAATTTTTTTAGGACGTCAAAATTATACCACTTAGAGGGCATAGAGATAGGGGACGATTTTTTTCCAATGACAGCACTAATGACGAGGATGCCTTTAATAATAAGGGGAATTTTTGAGAACTAATTCGGTTTAGAGTCGAGAGCGGCGACAATTTATTGGAAAAAAACTTAGAGAACTCAAAAGCGCATGCAACGTACAAAAGCAGCCGCATCCAAAATGAAATTATAGAATGTTGTGGCGAAGAAATCTTGGATATAGTTTTAAGTCGCGTCAGGCAAAGTCAGTATTACTGTATTATATTTGACGGAACTACAGACATTAGCCATAAAACACAAATGTCAATCGTATTGCGGTATTGTTATCAAAAACACATTTACGAGAACTTCATGTGATTTGTGGATTGCTACTCAAATTTTGATGAAGATACAATGGAGCCCAAACTCAGAGGTTAAATTCTTGCTAAAACAGTCATGCATTTCATTAAAACCAATAACTTGGAATCAAAACTAAGTGTGGACATTGGTACTGGTACGTGTAACCTAATGTTAGGTGAACAAAATGGCGCTGTAACGGAATTGCAAAAATGTTTGCCAAGTTCTCTAAAAAGCCCATGCGCAACTCATGCCTTGAATCTGTCGATTTCAAAAAGCAGCAGTGTCCAAGCAGTAAGAAATACTGTAGGTATAATGAAGGAAGTAATTGCGTTCTTCAAAGCATCAGGTAAAAGAAATACGGTATTCAAAAGAAAACTAGACGGATATTAAATTCATAGTATGTGCGAAACGCGATGGACCGAGAGACATTATCCCAAGCTCCAATTTGAAAGCAAATTCGAGAAAATTGTAGAGGTACTACATGTTATATCAAATTGGAAAGCCGCGAAGCTTCTTCAAAAGCCGAGTCATCTATAACGAAATCACATGAAACCCTGGGTATTGAACTGACTGTGCCAAGAATATCAAGCAGGCAAATGCACAGACCAAACATAGTTACGTGTGACAAGGAAAATCATTACAGACTGAACCTATATTTCCCTTTGCTAGATAATATCTCACAGGATTTGGTATATCGGTTCAATGAAGAATCTTTGAATTTATACAATTTTAATATTTTCTTTGCGTCAGTATTTAATTCAAAAACTGAAGCTGCAGTAATGGACATATTAGAAACAATCTCTAAATATTTGCACGGAATGAATAGTAACGAAAACAAAAATTTAATAAGTACCAGATTAAAAGCAGAGTTTGAACTTTGGATGTTACGTTCACAAGATATTATAGACAAAGTGGAATGTCACTGTATTTATCATGTGATGAAAACATTTTTCCTTCAATTAATAGAAGAATTTTATTTTGATTTATATTCAGTTTTATACTTTATAGGAGAGAAGATTTTTTTCATGAAGATGTATTTTTTGTTGATTTGTCTGACATTGCTATGTAGAAAAGTCTGTGATAGATTATATTATTTTGCGTTTTTGTTTTAATATATGAAGATCAAAATTAAAAAAAAATGTACGTCTTTTCTACAGAAATTACTGTAACAAATTCATATGTCACCTCACTGAGAATTTACTTTCCATTTTACCCCTCCCAGACTGAAATCCTGGGGCGCCACTGATTTCACTTATTCCATACCTAAACACCATCCAACATCGCATCAACCGTTCACCTTTCCGCCACGATCGTCTGACCTATCTCCAATTGAACATGTCTGGCACATGATAGGTCGCAGGCTCTTGAATTTGTAACACTCTCCACAGACTGGCTTGGACACAGCTTGGAATGAGATCCTCCATCTTATCAGCACGATGTCCAGGCGTGTCAATGAGAGTATAAGAAATCGTGGATCCTCAACACAGTATTGAACCAGCTTCTGCAGTCAGTTGACTAATCAAGCTGAAAATTTGATCATTTTACTGAACAAATATACTAAAAACACTGATCAACAGCCAAAAAATATCCTAAATAAAATCAACAAAATATTACTATTTTTAATGTGCTAAAACTGGAATGAAACTTATTTTTTCAATATTAGTTCAAGTTTTAGAGATCCGGTAATTATATGTGTTCCTGCTGTGACAGTGTTAATATACTGTAATTCACAAGAATGCACGTGCTAGATTTTTATATTCGGCAAGGAAAGATGATGTAATCGGCATGATTGTGTTACGTTATACATACGCGTACATTATATTGTTTTATAATAGCCATTTTTTTCTCAGTTGGCTGACAGCGTTCATGCAACATGTCTCGAAAGTGTGCAAACAATCCAGATCAGTTTTGTTACGTGTGTGGTGATGTGACTTTTGCATCTCAGAGACGGTCTATTACTCCACTAATAACAAAGGCATATCAGCTTTATTTCGGTTGTAAACTAGGTGATCAAGACAAACAGTGGGCACCCCACATCTGCTGTAATACATGTGCTTCAAGTCTGAGGAGCTGGTTAAATGGCAAAAAACGGTCTATGCGCTTTGCTGTCCCAATGGTTTGGAGAGAGCCTACAAATCATATTAATGATTGTTACTTTTGCATGGTACCTTGTGTTGGACAAGCCACAGGTATGTCCAAGAAGAAAAAATCGGGTATTAACTACCCAAACATACCATCTCCGATGAGACCTGTGCCTCACAGTGACGAAAATCCTATTCCAAAACCCCCAGAATCCTACACTTGCGAATCAGAAAACGAATCAGATCATGGCGATCGAGTGATTCGTCAGGAAGAAGATATGCCATCAACGTCAAGAGATCCTGATTTTATACCTAGCACGTCATGCCACCAACCGCACAAAATAACACAGTCAGAATTAAATGGTCTTGTAAGAGATTTAGAACTTCCAAAATGTAAGGCAGAGTTACTTGGATCAAGACTGCAGCAGTGGAACTTGTTAGAAGACGATGTTTCGGTATGTGTTTTTCGTAAACGCCACAAAGACTTAGAACCATTTTTCAATATGGAGAATAACTTGGTTTTCTGCAGTAACATTAACGGCTTACTGGCGGCTTTAAATATAAACAATAACCCCGAAGAATGGAGATTGCTTATAGACAGTTCAACATTGAGTTTAAAGGCAGTGTTATTGCATATTGGAAATATTTTACCATCTCTTCCTGTAGGGTATGCAGTTCACATGAAAGAATCATATGACAATATGAAGTACCTATTGACATGTATAAAATACGATGAGCACCAATGGCATATTTGTGGCGATTTGAAAGTTGTTGCACTTTTACTTGGGCTGCAGCTAGGCTACACAAAGTTTTGCTGTTTTTTGTGTGAATGGGACAGTCGGGCAAAGGCACTTCATTACACCAGACAAAACTGGCCTGTTCGTCAATTCCTAGAGCCAGGTCAAAAAAATGTACAGCATATGCCATTAGTAGATTCGAAAAAAAAAATTATTACCACCACTGCATATCAAGTTGGGCCTAATGAAAAACTTTGTCAAGGCATTAGATAGAGATGGGTCAGCTTTTCAATACCTGCGTCAGAAATTTCCAAGACTAAGTGAGGCAAAGGTTAAAGAAGGTATTTTTGTTGGGCCACAGATTCGAAATATTTTGAAAGATACACAGTTTGAAAACACTTTAACAGGTATTGAAAAAACTGCTTGGAATGATTTCCGTCTGGTGGTCACTAATTTCTTGGGAAATAGAAAAGCTGACAACTATAAAACCCTTGTCAAAAATATGCTGTCATCGTATCAAAAGATGGGTTGTAATATGTCTCTTAAGATACATTTCCTACACTCACACCTGGACTTTTTTCCTGACAATTGCGGAGCCGTAAGTGATGAGCACGGCGAACGTTTTCATCAGGATAATTCAACAATGGAAAAAAGGTACCAGGGAAAGTGGAATCCTTCCATGCTTGCAGACTTCTGTTGGACTCTTGGTAGAGATGCTCCAGAAACGATCCATAAAAGAACAGCAAAAAGACAGCGCATAGTGATTCTTATAAGTATATGAATCTTGTTACTTTTTTTAATATATCCTTAAAAATAAAAAGTTTTTTTTCTAAACCGCAACTAATTTTTTTATTTCATTGTCATTTTTGGATTCAGCGCCCCAAAATTAACAAAGAAGTCCACAAGATACAATTAAAAAACTAAAATTTGTTGTCCAGTGTAATTATTAAAATTGGATAAGCATGCGTAGATGTTCTGCTTGTTCTGCCACTCAGTACATTTGGTTGTAGAAAAACTCTCAAGCACCTCAAGTATATTATTAGTTATTACTGAATTTTAGGATAAAAGGTCAAAATTTCCTTTCTGGATCTCTACCTATTCAGGCATTTATTGCAATAAAATAATTCAAGTGAGCTATCGTTATAAAAACACCAAATTAGTCATTTAAGATATTTTATCGCTGCAAAAAAATGTCTAATAAACTTAATAACAACAGTCATAAACTGAAGTTGAAAGGACACAAGATATAGATTCTAAAGCACACTACGCATACTGATTCATTTAGATGTAACTCCACATCAGTGTGATGATTTTACATCCGCTGCTCTGCGGAGGGTGGATAGTGCGTATTTGGCACATTTTAGCTGTTTGCGAATGAGGAGCTTTACCTTGCTCACATTAATCTCACCGCCGGCTTTATATTACGCCTCGAAACACGGCCTTCTCGGATCGCTATCTTCGCTGCAGCATTTCAAGCGATTCCTGTGACCTATATGAAATCATTAGCCGTGTCACTCCTGATTAGATTTTTCCGACCAGCTCCCCGAAATATCAATCAAGGCGGCGTTGAAATTAAGTCACGGCCGTTGGATCACGAACGACAGCGGGCTCTAGCTAGAGACGTAAAAATCTTATAAAACATTTTATCAAGATTTGTGAAAAAATTGGATATTTCTCAATATTTGTTAGTAAAATAGCTTGATTTAAAATTGTTAAAACGTCAAAAAACGCTGTCTGACTTCCTAGAGTAATTTATTATGACTCCTTAAAAGCCAGAGAAAAGTTGAAAAGCGGAGTTTTTAAATTTGTTTTTGTTTTGTTTCCTGTACATAATTCAACGCCGATAGACATATAGGGTGCCGCAACCCATAACCCCCATTTTTAATCCCTGCAAGTTTTGTCCAAATTGATCAAAAGCCTCTAAAATGTCGAAAAAGTCACCACGGGATCGATTACCAAAAACAACAAACCTTCTTCATCCTTGACATTGAGTGAAAATTTAATCCAAATCAGAGTTATGGACTTGCCAAGAACTAGCGGACAGACAGACAGAGGGAAACGGATAGCATGTCATATAACATCAAAATCTATAAGATTTCTGAATATCAAATGTATGAAATATATACTAAGTGACATATAAATCCGAACACCCAGTTTAAATGGTTTTATTTTAATAAAAGTTGGTGAATGTATTTATCTTACTGTAAATAACAAGTGAAAAAATTTTCAGCCTGATCAGTTGGACATTCCGGTTTTTATACTGCTTTTTTTAATTCACTAACGCTCTAAAAATGCATATTTCAGCCGCAGTAAAGAATCAACGTTGGCGGATTTTGGTTCTTGACATCCTTTACGATCGGTTACGATGCCTAGAGTTCGAAGACCTGTACGATTTCGTCAACTTAGTGAGTTTGATAGGGGCCGTATAGTGGGACTTCGGGAAGCGCTGGACATCCTTTTCGGGGAATTGCAGTTAGACTGCAAATAAGTGTAGACACTGTGG